TTTTAGGCTGGCCTGACCATTGGTCTGATAAACAATATTGGCCAAGATCTAAGGTGTTCTTATCAGTGATTGCTTATATCTGGGTCTAACAGTTGCACAAAACCAATACTACATCCACCCTCCAGACCACACAGCTTCCAAAAACAGATAGCAACAAGTTTCACATCTGTTCTTATATATAACAGATCACACAGATACCATCTATTAACATCCATCTCTAACACTATCTAATAATAAGCATGGAATTAGTCTGTCATTTCCAATGAATCTATTGTTAAATTTCCTAGAATATTTGACATCTTTTCATTGAATTAGCTCCTGTAGCTAAGCTTAGCTCGGTTATCCACTGGGGCTGGCTGACTAAATATTTTATGACTACATGTGTTGTATTTATTGTGAGAACAATACAAGTGACAACAAAAAGTATTTACAACTTTCTCCCATCTTCTATGGGTAACTAATGCTGTGACAGTATGCCACTGCTGTCAAGGTCTAAATAAACACATAAACAGATATTAGAAAAACTTGATAGTTATCCAAAGTTAACTATAGCCAGTTAACTATACATAATAACTGCATTTAACAATATTTTTAAATTGTTCAATGCAGAAAGAAATATTGAAGTAAGTTTTTGGGGATATGGAAACTATTCCAAAAAAGTTTTAAAAAGTTAAGAAAACCACTGGACTTTATGTCTGGAGTAGCGTTTGAGTTTTAGGCTTATAGAGTGGCCCAAACAAAAGCCTTCTTTTAGCTTAGAAAAAAGACAAATTGAAGCAAAAGAACACATCCATCCCTTAGTAATGGATGTGGTTGAGGTCGTTATTGACCTGCAAAAGCCGATACTGGCCCATGCCTCTGAAAAGGGAGTCATTAGGGTTTGGAAACTAATAAATTGGAATTATGTTTGTCAAGATAAATTACATTTTTATCAAAGTCCCCAACAGTACAACATACACTGGTCCTCAACACACCTTAACACACCAAACTGGATTTAACGCGTAATCTGACAGAAAATTTTGTCGCAAGAGGTGGTGGCAGTGATATGGGTTGAACACACCCGACAGGGTTTTCTGCAAAGGTGCTTTCATAGCTCCGACTGAGACAGACCTCAGATCTATTTTAGATGGACTATGTAGCAATTCAATGGCAATTTCCTGGGTCTGACCAGAAGAACTACGCAGATGCAAAGTAAAACATCTGCTTTTGGGGAAATACAAAATAAAATCTGCTATTTGCAAGAGAAAACAGTCAGATTTTGAGTTGCACAGTGCATATTAAGCAGACTGTGAAGACTGGGACATAAACAATCGATAAAACATTTTACAGTTTCTGAAACTGGACAGTTCTGTGCATTCTTAAATGATTCAATCGTTCGAAAGCGTATAAACACGTCATGATCAGATGATTTTATTGAAAAAAGATTTAGATCGGACTGGAGGAATGTTGCGCATGTAAACGTCAGTAGTGATTCCGAAATGGATAAACCAGGATAACTGAATTAAAGCCCCAATCGAAGTTTGTCTATCTAAGGAAAACCAGCTGATTGTATCAAATAAATTGACTTAAGAGCAATCCCTCACACCAAGCATGCTTGTAGTGTATGGGAAGAAAAACTCCATTTTAACAGGAAGGAACCTCCAGCAGGACCAGGCTCAGGGTGAGTGGCCATCTGCTGAGGCTGACTGGGGTTCAAGGAGACAGAAGCAGAGATACAATGCTTTTACTATATTTAAAAATCTGTGTAAATCAGCTCTTCAAATCGTCTTTATTACTCTTCTTGGTTATCGCATGTTTACCACTTTAAAAGTGACGTACATCCTGATATTTGGGTGGGTGTATTTATTTATGTAAACCTGGGTGTACAATTTTAGCTCCGTCAATAAAGTAAAATGCACACAAAATTCAAATTTTTGCACCTAATTTTTGTTTTTGCATTGCATGGATCTATGTTTAACAGTTAACAGACAGTAAGCTGAAAATAAACATTACTTTCCTATCAAATATTACCCTTAAGGTGATTTCTGAGTAGCGAGAGTCAAAGTAGGAGAGGAGGAGACGCTATCTGCTCTAAAGAAAAGGGGGTTTTAGCTCCAGGCAAAACTATCTCCAGCAGTTCTTTTAGCTGGCATACCTTCAACCATTAGAGTGCATACTGTTCAAGAGCAAAACAAAAATAGACCTAAAAAAAGACTACAGACACAAACAGCAACATGTCCCTGGGCATTTGTCCTGGTAAAATCAGATAGAAACTTTCTCTAAGGCCTCTCAAACTAATTAGAAAACATCAAATAACAGGTACTCATATGAAAACAATAATAAAACATCTACAAACAAAAGGAATTAGACCATTTTGAGTCACTTGGGATCAGCAACAACAGCAATAGACCTGTGCTTACAGTTTCCAGTGTTTGTACATGTGCACATGATCATATGGGCATTCTTTATCTCAGTGGCTTTAATACCGGACTTTGCTTTAAATACAATACAACTCCTGGACATATAGTAGTTTAACTTCTGAAAAGCTTAAACAAAATTGTCAGTTTTTTTTTTTTTTTTTTTTGCTATTTCTTTGTGAACTATTATTTGAATTCACTTTTGCAAAAATGGAACTTATACTTACATACCTTCTATGCCTCTCAGGGACATTATACATGGCATTAGATTCTCAGTCGTCTTGTCTTTGACCAAGACAATTCATCGGCATTATCTGCCGATGGAGGTCTGAGCTTCTGGGGTGCCTGTGTACAGCAATGTTTTTTAAGTGTGAGGTTTGCACACTGCCTTAGATCATATGAAGTACAGCAACGGGAAAGAAGCTCATGAGGCAGACTCAAACTGTCCTACATCATTTTAAGTACAGGCTATTTATCTGAGCAGAACCTCTAGGATTGCATCATCCGCAAACACAGCTAAGATTGATAGGCAGGCACACAGATTTATGGGGGATCCAGTCCAAGCAGTTAGCCCCAACCTGACTGCAGCTGTTATGCAAAAGTGATTTCAACCAAAAGCCCAGGAAAGACCAAAAAGTAACAGAATTAAACATGATGCTTTTTACTATGTGGCATATTGCTCAACTGGCTGAAGCAATGCCACAACAATATCAATTGTCACCAGTGACAATCATGCATTGCAATTATTCAGATGAAGCACTTTAAAAAGGAATATAAATACTGTTTAGATTTTAAAAATAACAACTTTCCATGTCAATGCTTGCTTCAGCCTTGGCGGCTGAAACTCTATCCAACCTCGGCTCAATTATACTCATTCTGAGCTAAAATCCCCCAGAAAAAACAAGGAAATACAGGAAGGATTTACTGGAATCCACTTTAGGGATGAAACAATGAATCGGATTAACCGTGATGAATCAATTATTGAAATAATCATCATCTAATTTAATAATCGATTAATCGTTAGCTGACACAGCGACCCACTTAGAGCAGTAATTGTACCAAGATTATAAAAAAATATATTTTTGATGTTTATTTAAGTATTCTTTCATCTAAAGTTTTATTTAATGCAGTATTTCTGTACCCACAAATATAGTAATTCATAAAATTGGAGACCTGGTATTGTTTTGTTTTTATTTTTGTATGCTATTCTTGGTGTTTACATCCTCTTGTTAACATTTCGGCTTTTCTCTGGAAATTTTGTTCCTTATATTGGTGTGTGTATGTATATCTATATATACCACATTTTACCGCCCACCATTATTTTTGTGTTTGGGGGAAGTAGGGTAGAAAAAACTTTACATTGTACTATATTTTGACTAATTACTACATTGTGTATTTTGTGAAAATTCAATAAAAAATAACTTAATTTCTTAAAAGTCATCTTTAAGGAACCTTTGGTTATCCAATCATAACTCGATTAATTGAAAAAATAATCAACAGATAAACTTATTTGCAAAAGCATCATTAGTTGTAGCCCTAATCCAGTTCAAAAACAAGCAAGTAGTTGTTCTGTATCGTTTTTAGCTCCAAACAATCTGCCTAAAACTTTATTAATCACCTGCCCATCCTCCCCTGTCATTCCTCTAAGCTGGTTCTTTATAGTGCAGGGATTCATTTTTCTTCAAATTCATAAAATACCTTTCTGTTTTAGAGAAATCCTGTATTGGACATTGATAATTTTATATTCTAATCCTCCCTTTTTTCTTATTATACTGTGAATGCACAACTGAATAATATACAGTTGAAAAGCAAACAGATCTTTTAACGCTTTGCTTTAGTGTGTGGCTCAGGATCAGACATGTTGTTATAACACCTAAATGTATAACATCTAGAAAGACGAGGCCTGAGGGTCACAGGAATATAAGGAGGCGGCGCTCTGAAGGGGATGCAAAGCTATGATTCATTATCAAATATTTCCTGTTGTACAGAAAGAGATTAAAGCTGCTCTGGTGAAATCCAACTTATTAGCTTGTAACACCAATTACCATAAGCAGAAAATTCTTAGTGATGTTGAAAGAGGAGGATTAAATGTGTTAAAATCAAATGAATGAAACATTCACCCTGACCTACATTTTAGCATTCTGCATTCGTGTTTAATTATTAAGGCACTTCCTGTGCATTCATTTCATGTGAGAAGAGGACGATTAATGCAAGTGTGCATTCTGTGAACAAACAAGGAATTGCTATATAAAAAACAGATGATGGCTTTGGTTCCTTTGGCCCGCTGTTTGAAACAGGAATAGAGTCTCTGCACAATATAGCTGTGTCTGGTTGCTCTTACGGAGGACAAATATAGTGCCCGTTGCCATGGTTATGCCCGAGAACGCATTGCCACAAACAGCTTTCAGCACCACGAGGATGCACACCTACACACACCCCCTGACACTCTTTCCACCACGTGCAGATGAGCTGAAACTATTGCATTAAGGCAGGAAATCATCTCATTTGTTAATGGTACACTGAGATTTCTCTGCATGTGCATGATGAGCACCTGTGGAGGATAATTTGCAATCATCCCTTAAACAAGTGGCTGACAAAACTCACCGTCACAGTGGGGATGGCGGTGACGAGGGAGTACACCAGGACCGGCGGCGCCCTACTGTTGTCCTCTGGTCCGGGGTATGGCTTTGAGTAGGTTTTGTCGAAACAGAAGAAGCCCTGGATGTGCACTGGGAACGTGTCCGTGTACTCAAAGTAATACGCCAACAGAACGGTCCCTGCCATGATCACCAGCTGGAAATAAAACATATTGGTAGCAGGGTAAGGATTGGGGTAAAGAAAAAGGCAGCCCCAAAAAAAAAGGAACCAAAAAAACAAGAGAAAAAAAGTAAAAAATATTTTCCCTTCACAGAGCAAAATGACAGATGCCTCCGTAATGTGTAAACTAAGGCATTTGTGCGAGGCGGGAGAGTGAAAAAAGAGATTGAGAGGGAGGGAAGTAGAGATAGAGGCAGGAAAGAAGGAAAGATAGCAGAGCGGCGGAGTGAGCGATCCCTTTAGCAGTGTCAGTGTTCAGAGTAGGAGGGGAGGGAAACAAACCAAGCCTGATTGTAAAAAAAAAAAAAAGAAGAAATAAAGCTTTATGCTGAAGCAAAAAGAGGGACTGAGAAAGAATGAGGGGGAGAAACAGATGGGTGAGTGGAGGGAAAGGGGGGGAGATTAACAGAAGGAATAAGACAAGAAGAATTACATATGCATGTGTGGATCTCTGCATAACTTAATATACTGCTGTTCTGACATTTCTAACACTGCAGCTGCATGAACAGCAGAAAGCATGAAGCTGGCAGTATGACCTCAATAACTATTTAAATTCAATCGCAATCCTTCATTAACAATTCACAACAGAATGCACGTCTAAAAGGAGAGAGAAACGGGACGATAAAAACAGAAACCAAGAAAGCAGCTTACATTTCTGCACACCACAATAAATAAATATCGTACTCTAAACAGCATATAAAAAAAGTTTTCATATATAAAAAAGTACAACCTGATTATCTATACATTCTATATCTAGAATCTATAGATTCTTTAAAAAAAAAAAGCCCTTGACAGTAAACTAAAACAATATTATATTGAAAAAAAAGGTTCAGGCAAAATAAAACCTAAAAGCTATTCATTGGTTTAATTTTCATCTGCAGCCTAAATAGCTACTTGATGAGCTTCCTTTCTACTTGAAGCACAAATTTGTCAGGAGAAAAACTGGAGGGGGCTTCTGAGGGAGGACTGTGCTTGGTTAAAACTGCAGGGACATAAGTCTTTGCTGTTTCAGCTGTTTGATGGCTCTTGGTTGCTCCAAAATAGCAGCCAGTGTATGTTGAACTGTGGCCACACAACACATTAAACACAATAATCAAAGCTAAAATATTTGATAAATAATTTCCAATTTAACAAAACACCATAACAGTCAGTCTCTAATACAAAAAAGGCTCCTGAGGAAAGTAACTAAATCATTATTTATGCAGATGTGTTAAGTTGAATTTAATAGACTTAAAATATGGCTTTAAATCCTGGGACTGAGAATTTGGACAATATGAACGGACAGGTGTAAAGAATCTAAATGGCTATACTTATACTAGTTATACCTGAATTCAAAAGCAAAATGTGTGCGTTCAGATAATGATGTATATGTATATATATATATATATATATATATATATATATATATATATATATATATATATATATATATATATATATATATATATATATATATAAGAATCATACAACAGTTTCCATATCTGATTCACGAAACTATGTGCATACTGTAAAAACCAGGGTATAACCAGCTGGTGTTGATATATTTAGTGGCTAGAAACAATTTTAATTTATCAACCATTCCCCACAGAATGTGTGACATGGATTTCCATGTTGTCTAATACTTATTCTAATATATTACTTCCAGGACATACATTTTTTATATTTTATTATGCACCGTGGGGTTGAGAGGACTGAAATTTCATCTGTGTTGTATGTTTACCATGTAGTGCATTTGACAATAAAGTTGAGTTTAGTTGAGCGTGAGCAAAACTGAGTGTGTTTGTGCTTTATTCATGTATTTATTACAAAGTATTAATCAACCCCATCAAAGTCATCATCCTCTGTTTCAGAATTAAACAGCTGCGCTAAATCAGACATCCCAATTTCCCCTTCTTCGCTGTCAGAGTTACTTTCCGTGCCGCGCGGCTCCTCAGAAATAATGCCGGCTTTTGCGAAAGCTTGAACAACAGTGCCAGCAGACACGTTAGTCCAAGCATCTACAATCCATCCGCAAACTGTGGCGTAACTTGCCCGGCGCTGCCTACCACTTTTCCTGAAACTGTGGTCTCCGTCGGTCATCCATCGCTCCCACGCCGCTCGCAGCCTTACTTTGAATGGCCGCTTCACACCGATGTCGAGCGGTTGAAGTTCCTTTGTCAGATCTCCCGGAATAACAGCGAGCACAGCGTTCATTTGTGTCACCTTGTTTTCCACATCGGCTGTGAGATGGGCACGCATGGAGTCACAGATTAACAGCAATGGTGATGCGTGGAAAAAACACCTGGTCTCCTTACATACACCTCCCTCAGCCACTCTTTCATCATCTCCTCATCCATCCAGCCCTTTCATTTGCCTTAATAACGACTTCCACACTTCCCCCTTTAACGTTCTCATGGTGGTCTCAACAACGTCCGCAGTAACAACACACATAGGGCGCACCGCACTATAGGGCGCGCCGCACATTTTGAGGGAAAAAAAGACGTTTATATGCGCCTTATAGTCGTGAAAATACTGTAGTTCTGTAATAGTTTTTCTCTAATACTGAAGCTACCTGCATAAGTCAATGGAAGGTTTCTAAGAACAGCCTCCTTTTTCTTCAAAGCAAAGCAAGTGATTAAGAACCGCAAGAAATTAAAATAATAATACTTAAGAGTCCAGGGCTGCTCATGAATCATGAAGTTTGCATGTTCTCCGTGAGCATACGTGGGTTTTCTCCGGGTACTCCGGCTTCCTCCCATAGTCCAAAAACATGACTGTTAGGTTAATTGGCTTCTCTAAATTCTCCTTAGGTGTGAGTGTGTGTGAATGGCTGTTTGTCTCTGTGTTGCCCTGTGATAGACAGGCGACCTGTCCAGGGTGGACCCTACCTATGGCTTGTAGACAGCTGGAGATACAGTAGGCACCAGCATCCCTTGCGACCCCAGCAGGGATAAGCGCGACGGAAAATGGATGGATGCTTAAAGCTTGCTGACAAAGTCTGGGACATGTTTTTTAATTAAAGCATTTCCTTCTCTCATGTCCAAATGAACAAGCAGAAACTTAAGATCAAAATGTCTGAATGACAGTTTTATCTTGCATATGCACATGAAATAAAGTATGTATTTATTTTCACTATGTTGTATGTCAGACAGAGAACATGGGTTTAATTGCAGCAGCTTGCAGCAGTGTTTTTTTTAATAAAAAAAACTCACAGATTTAAGTCTTTTTCATTCCGAATTTAACCACAAACATTGTTACGTCATAATGAAGATTGATTTAACATAATTTATTTGAATTTGTGTCTTCCAAACATTGGTTACAGTAGACTTTTAATGTAATTCTAAAAGAGGACCTCCGTCGTCCTGCCCGTGATGTGCTTGGTAACAAGATAAAGTTGAATTCTGCTCTAGGCTTGCTTGATTAAGTTGTAGCTATCTGAAACCTTTTAATTATTTATCTGACTTCAGGTAAGGGTCAGACTTGGTAGGTAGTTATTTTCTTGCATTTGCTGTCTTAAGGTTGGATACATCTACCTTAAACTGCTGTTACACTGTTTCTTAACATGCCAGTTGATTTATCTAAAAATATTGTGTTTTCCTAAATAAAAGGCAGTAAAGTGCATTAAGTGACTTAGTGTATCTACTGATACTTCTTTGTTCTGTATAGTGCAAGTACACTGAGATTGAGTGTGTACAAAAAGTACTTTAGAACAGTGGTTTTCAAACTCTGTCCTGCATGTTTTAGATGTGTGTCTGCACCAGCACACCAGCATCAAATGATTACAGCCACCCCTCAGCAGCCGCAATGGGCTGCAAGGCGCCTGCTAATCATCCATTTATTAAACTCAGGCATGCAGACGCAATGTTTAAAATTTTCTTTCTCACACATAAAGCCTTAAATGGCCAAGCTCCATCTTATATCAGGGATCTGGTTGTTCCTCATGTTCCTAACAGAGCACCTTGGTCTCAGTCTGCAGGTTTACTTGTGGTTTTTAGGATTTCTTAAAGCAGAATTGGGAGGCAGATCTTTTAGTTATTAGGCTGCTTGCTCTTCTATGGAACCAACTAGCAGTTTTAGTCTGTGAGGCAGACACCCTGCCTACAATTAAGCTTAAAACTTTCCTTTTTGATAAAGATTATAGTAAGAGTAGCTCAGGTTATTCTGAGCTATCTCTATAGCTATGCTGCTATAGGCATAGACTGCTGGGTGACAGAGGGACCCCTTTTTATCCTTCTTCATTCTATCTCAATTCCCCCGTTTCAAGTCCAACCTCTTAATCTATGCTCTTTCGCCTTTTTCTCATCATAGTAGCTTAATCTGGTTTGTTCCTGTTTGGCTGTGACTCTATCTTGGAGAGATATGCCAATTAGGCTGCTGCCTAGCTGCCTAACATCTTAGATTATGGATGTTGAAGTTGATCTATTTTTAGTGTAGTACTGTTTTTCTACAGCTTAGTTAATGCTTGATGCATCCGCGAGGTCCACACGGCCCAATTACATCATTTTGGGCTTCTACGTCCCTCCGCGCCGACTCTGTGCAGACAGAATTTCCGCACAGAGCACCTAGGAAAATGTGTAACTATGCGGGTCCCCAGGGCCGAGTCTCAAAACCCCTGCTTTAGAGTTAATCATATGGATGCTAGAGATTCATCATCCTGTGAGCTGAAGCTTCATCAGTGTAAACTGAGCATAATTATGGTGTAACATAAGAGAACTGTGACAGACAGACAGATGGTTGGACAGGTGGACAGACAGACAGAAGCCGATAATCTCATACTCTGGGTTCTTGACAAATGCTTCCACTTGAGACTTAGTTTTACATAATGACCTTATCTAAGGCTCACAATACAGCTAGCTTCATGCTCCAAGCACAGTATAGCTAGTCACGATCCATAAACCCTCGGCTCCATTGTGCAGCAAATTCCTTTGTTTCTCGCATCTTTTCTTTCATCTCATAGAGACTTGTTTGTGTTTTTGCATTTGATTGTGTGGGTGTGT